ATTCTGAGAGTCCTCTCAGAGAGCTCTTATCTTAACCTAAAAACTCCTAGCTAGGAGTCTTAGCTTAAAAGTTATTCCAGAACACTCTTAGAGAACTCTGAGCAAGGAATTGACAACAACTTTTATCTTAGTGAGGAGGCGTGGCCGACCCCGTTGCTAGGTATGAGTCATCATTTCAGACGCTGTGATTGGTTGATCCTAAAAGTTAGAACAAACATATTTTTGATGATAATAGGCAAAATAAGGGCCCTAAAATGGACAAACTCAATCATGGAATCTAATCTTAGGAACACTGTGTTATTGTAAATAATAACCAAAAGCTATAAAGTCAGATATATCAATGGTACATAAATACTGTGAATAGTAAAGTTAGACTTATACACCATCATCAGAGCTTGCTCAGCACCAATTTATCACACATAATACGTATATATCATGAGCACTTATAATTTTATATATATATATATATATATATATATATATATATATATATATATATATACATATAATTTAAATATTACTCTATATATAAAATATACATGATAAAGAAAATTATTATTATAAATATTATATGGATAAATGATGATAATGATAACGTTAGGATTAGTAAAGGCTGTGATATGTATAGACTTATAAGGAATTAAGGAAACAATATTAATATAAACATATTATACATACACTGTACTAATCAAGTACAAGGGAGCTTAAAAGTCTTATCCTCTCCCACTCCTTTTTGAGCTGGATTGTTGTTAATAAAACAAAACTGTATATTTGTACTTCTATTCTGTTGTTGTTTGTGTTTGTTTTGTCCTTTTTTTTTCTTGTTTGCCATGGCTCAAAATAAAAGTATTCATTCATTCGTACTGAATGGTGTGACAATTTAGGACCACTTTTTCCTCTACTTTCAACTTTTACCATTTCTACTTACTTTTGTGTAACAAAGGTAAAATGGATGAGGTGTTATTGCTGACCAGCCAATAAGAAGCTGGTCACATGATTGACTTTTAAATATACCACAAAACATGATTCCTGCTTGAATCTGCAGCGTTTTTTCACTGATTCACTGTCATCCAGTGTATAGAATATTTCTCCTGTCTCCACCGTCCACCATTTTGTGCTCTTAGGGAACTTTTAAGTCGCTAAAAGTCCTCCTCTCAACTCTTAAGGGATCTCCCCTTAAGAGCACTCTTAAGAGCTAGGATTTTTTAGGAATAGCTTTTATCTTAAAGCTGCACTAACTGACTTTATTTTTGTATTCATTACAAAAATGCTATCCATGTCCATGTAGTGCATTGGGATATACGTCCTTTTGAAGAAAAAGTAGCCCAGATTTGTGCTTGCGTGACATTATATTTTAGATCGAGTTTTGATGAAACAAGGAAGAGAATGTGTTTCGGGTCGCAGATTGTGACCAATCACAGTGGACCACTAGCCCCCACTTTTGTGAGAAATCTACAGGTCTCCGTTAGCATAGACGGCTGAGTTAGCACAACAAGCGGCGGAGCTAACCTGAAACTTCCTCGTCTTCGTCACCGGTTACTGCTTACACAGCGAGACAGCCATCCAAAAGAAAGTCCCGTTCCTCCGCGCTTCCCGGTTCTATCGTTCTATGGTCACGGCATCCACGTGCAAATCCATATCCATGTATTATCCATATTGGGAGACGCTAGCTCCGTCCCAACAGTGGGTGTGTGTGGGGGGCGATAGCTTCGTGGGTGCGGGGAGGGGAGCAGAAAGAGAGAGGCCAGCGAGTCCGCGGCTTCAAAATCCCAAAGTCAGTTAGTGCAGCTTTAACTAGGAGCTACTCCTCACTTTTAGG